GAGTGAAGTTGAGCCCAGGAAGAAGGGAGGGGTGGGAGGAAGGTGTTTTAAGATTTAGTTTTTATTTCTCATTACCCTACTCTGATAAAAGATTAATTTTCCCCAAGTCGAGTCTGTTTTGCCTGTGATGGTAATTGGTGAATGATCTTTCCCTGTCCTTAGCTCGACCCACGAGCCTTTCGTTATATTTTCCCTCCCCTGTCCAGCTGAGGAGGGGAGGGATAGAGCGGCTGCGGTGGACACCTGGCATCCAGCCAGGGTCAAGCCACCACAATTATTCATATGCATGACTAATCCCTCTCTAAATCCTGTTAAGCTCTTTTCCCAGGTCATGGCATATGACAGCTAGCTCAGAGATTCATGACCTGTTCTCTAGAAAAGAAAGATCTTTTTAGTTCTGTTGGCCTATTTTCTGATCTTAGGTACGGTCCTGTCAGTTTAGAATAACTGTGCATAAATCAATGAATTTCTCTGATTGCATACCAGCAAAAATTAGGTCAGATTTTGGCTCATTGCATTCTTAATTTGATTTGGCATCAAATGAGAAATAAAATTTTACCGATCCTACCTTCACTATTCATTATTTTCAGACCCCTTGTGTCTGCCTCTTGTGCCCATTTTATAGAAAACTATTGCCTTATTTTAATCTGTGAAACACTCCAGGCTTCACATAATTTGCCTCTTAAAAGCCTAGTGTACCCTATATATATTAAATAGTTATTGTAGATTCCCTTCTATTGTGCTGGATCACAGCTATCAGTATAGTTGAAATGAAAGGTACATGTTAGGACGAGAGGAGATGGCCTCAAGGTGCACCAGGGGAGGTTTAGATTGGACGTGAGGAAAAATGTCTTTACTGAAAGAGTGGTGAAACATTGGAACAGGCTGCCCAGGGAAGTGGTGGAGTCCCCATCCCTGGAGGTATTTAAAAGACGTGTAGATGAGGCGCTTAGGGACGTGGTTTAGTGGGCATGGTGGTGTTGGGTCGACGGTTGGACTCGATGATCTTAGAGGTCTTTTCCAACCTCAATGGTTCTATGATTTTATGTTACACATGGAGGTGACAAACTGTTGAGTGGAAGTGGAAATACGGGCAGCAAATGTCATCATTTAGGTATAAGAACTTGCAGTGGAGGTCCCTCTCTACCACTGTTGCTCTTTCTTGAACTGTACCACAACTGCATAAAAAGAGCAGATCAGATCACTACAGAACTTAGAAATTGCTTTTGGTACCAGTAATTAATTAAGTAGAGGCTTAAGTAGAACTGAAATATGAATAAGTACATCAGTACTCGTGCAAAAAAAACCCCTGGCTCACCACCTCCAAAACATGTGGACCAGCATTATGCACAAAGACATGCTAGTGTTTAACAGCTTAAGGTCTGCTGACATCAATTTTGAAGTAAAGCTTGTGTTTAAGGTCAGGTCTGAACGAATCCACTTTCCAGTCTGACACCAGTTCACCAAACTGTCAGGAATCACCATCTTGGTCACCGACAAAACAATCCTTTAAAATATTTCAAGAACTGCCTATGGAGCACTGCTAACATTCAGTGAAACATTCAGGACGCCTGGGAAAATCTTTTATTGTCAGGAAGCTTGTGGCCAGCAGGATGCAACCAAGATTTTTCTATGAAATAAATTCTGATAGCAATTAATTATATTACAATAGACTATATAAAATACACACACACACACACACACACACACACGAATTGCATTTACTAGTTATTGTCTATCTCCATCTACTGGCCAGAGTGGAGATCTGTGATGAAACATTGGGTGCATTTATAGATGGGACTACTCTCTGCAGGGATGAATTTTTGGAGTTCTATGACAAAACTACAGTTTATGCGGATCGTATCGTTTTTGTAAGGAATTACCACTTTCGACAAATTCACTCTTTCTTAATCCTGGTGGGAGTTTACTGTTTGAAAATATTGAAGCTGAATATTTGAAAACCTTTTTCAAATATAATCTAATGAGCACAGTGCCCAGTGCTAGGTGGAACTGGGGATGCTAGAGGACTTCAGAAGGACTTTGCGTGACCTAGCAGAGAAAAGTGCTGGAAATAACATTGCCTATGAGAAGGATGAGGTGGCTAAAAAAATTTCTCTGCCCTGATAAAGAGGGACTCTCTGGGAGGTACATGTGAACCTCCTGAGTCTGAGAAGGACTTTGAAGGATTTTTGTGCGTCCCTCTGCTCCCCCACTTGCCCTCTCCCTGTGACTGAGAAATTATGATGGTAGCTGAACTGCAGTATTGTGAAAACACTGAGCACCGCTTACCCTAAATACCTACACCGTTTTCTCCTATTCAGCCCTGATCTTCAAAAATACAGAGGTGTTTGGGAATTAGGCACAGCAGTATTTTTGAGATGTGGGGATCTTAACAGTGAAGGCTTTTACTGTGGCTTGTAGATCGCTTCAAAGAGTTTTCAAAATGTCAGCAAATATCTAACGCTAGCTTAAACTGAGTGTAAAACTAGTTGCAAGGCCACTTATGTTGCCTCTGATAATGCGTGCTGAAGCTTTTTTTTAGCTAGGTTTCCTATGGAAGCAAAGCTGGTGTGATAGCTTGTGTGTATGTGTGCGTGTTTCAGTAACTTCAGCATCTCTTGAGGGATGCTCTAAATTTTTTGCGATGATGAATCTAGGTCAAGGCCAAGGTGAGTGGAGGTTGGGCAAAGTCAAGGTTTGCAAATCTTCACAAGTTTGCTCCTAATAGCTTTGACATCCTCTGGTGAATCTGTAGAGTCAGAATTGCTGCTCTTACACTGCGCTGGGAGATACTTATAAAGGGAAAAGGAAGGGCAGCAGATTGTTTTGGATTAATTAGGACTGGACTGATTTGTCTCTTGTGGAGCATTTCCCCTAAATTCTCTTGGGTATAAAACAAAGCATGTTAAAGGCAATGTTATAGATATAGTTTATCTATTAATCATTGAATACAGCTCAGCTGCTGTTGAGGAAGTCTTTGATGTTATACGCTGATTGTCCTTGGGGCTTCATCCCATTTCTTGTCCTAAACTGCAGAAGTAAATAGTTGAACTGCTATTAAGGAAGCGAAATGAGCGAGCATTGGCTACATCTGCAAAAAGGGGTCATGTCTCACAGACTTGGGGAAGAAGAGAGGTCTTCATATAGCCCCTAAGAACTTCTTACTTTAATGCACAGTTTCGGCATCACCATGTTTTGATACAATTTTAAATTCTCAATCTGTTTCTAGATTTGTTGCTTAGGAGAGATGCTTAAATAAATTCTACTTTCTAGTCCTGAAAAGGTGCAAGGAATTTTTTAACTTTCTTACTAATTTCTTTCCTTTATAGATGCAATTTGCCTCCTATATCTGAGAAATACTTCACGGACGTTGGGGTAAAGACGGATGTCGTGACTGTCAATCCCAGTATAATTACTGAGAGGTCGTTTCTGGTTTTTGTATTTTCATCTCTATTGCTTTTCCAAATCTACCTTTCACTTAATTCTAACTGTTACAGAGAACTTTTTTCCCAATATTACTTTAAACTGACACTATGAATCATATATTTCATTCTGAATTGAAGTTATTCAGTATATGGAAGCAGTAACAACTTACAGAAATGTGTAAAACACTTAGACCTGCACATTGGTGATACAAAGTGGGAAGCTGATGAGCTAAAATTATAACAGCAGAGCCATCCTTCCCCCTGGAAGTCTTGTGCCGTGCTTGCAAGCCCCAGGCAAATGTCTCAGAAACATTCAGGGTGGAAGCAACCGGATCCCACCCTAAATGCTTAAATAAAGTAGCACACATTCTCATATGTTTTTAAAAAATGCCAGTTAAACTTTGTAGCCAGGATTGACTGGATGATTTTAATTTTAAATTTGTTAATACCTTAATGCCACCTTGCTGACAGGTTTGGGACCATGGGGCTCATGACTGCTTTCCTTTAGACATTTTAGACATTTGCTCTGCTTTGGTATTTGCCACTTTTTTATACAGTTCTGCACTGCATAGTGCACTATACAGCTGTCCACACCTTGGAAAAATGACATACTTCTCATAATAAAATGAGAAGTGAGACATGATCGGAAATGTCTACAAAGTTTTTCCACTGTTTGATGAATGTATTGCCAAAAGAGAGGAGAACATGTATTTTTTTATACCCTGCATTTTTGCCCTACATATCATACTGATGCTTTATCTAAAAATCTAAATATATTCCCCTTGTTAACGGAAACATCATTTCAATTATCTCTGTGTCAGAAATGTTTCATTAAAAGCCCATTGGAGGTTTCTTGTCTGCTGAGCCCACACGGAGTCTGTACTGGTCTGACCATCGCTCGCATCCTTTTCAATTTAGATTTCATAAGCTGGAAAAATGGAGGAAACCCTTCTATGACGTGCTCCAGGTCTACGAGAACGCTTCCGTGCTGCTGCCAGCTTTCTACAACACTCGCAACACGGACGTCTCAATCCGGGTCAAATATGTCCTGGATGATTTTGAATCTCAGCAAGCTGTTTATTATTTTCATCCCCAGTATCTCATCAACGTCTCACGCTACTGGCTCGGCCAAGGGGTGCGGGCCAAGCGGATTAGCACTGGACTGATCCTGGTGACTGCTGCCCTGGAGCTCTGCGAAGAAGTCCACCTTTTTGGCTTTTGGGCCTTCCCCATGAACCCCTCAGGGATTTTTATAACTCACCACTACTATGACAATGTGAAACCTCGCCCTGGTTTTCATGCTATGCCCTCAGAAATCTTCAACTTCCTCCACATGCACAGCAAGGGGATCCTGCGGGTTCATACAGGGACCTGTAGCTGCTGTTGACAGGGACACTCCTTCCTCTGACGCAAAAGTGTAACAGGAACTCGATGCCTGTGTATGGTGTAGGAGGTTTTATTACACCCTGAGATTATGCAATAATTGTTTGATATAAATTTCCTCAAGGTATTGCATCCCATAAGATCTAGGATACCAGCATCTTTCCTGCTAGCAGAGTTGGGTCCGTAACAGCGTGGGAGAAGCAAAACTCCTCTGTCCCAGGGTATGCACTGCCCTGGAAAGCAAGTCAGATAAGAAGCACATTTCCAATAGATTTAGTGATAAACAGAGCACATTAATATAGTTATCATTTCACTATGAAGAAAAGCACCAAACTTCTGAGGAGAATCAGTGGTGGAGAATTTTAGCAGAGACTGTATGACTTTACGTAGGTTTCTGAATCAAGTACCTTGGGGCATTGCCAGATTTTATTGAAAGCACTGTTCTCTGGCATTTGGGCTTTTGAAAATAGTCTTTAGCATTATAGTTTTAAGGGGAAGTATATAACTTGAGGTCTTTGTTCTGTAATGTCACAAAGTATTGGTGAAAAATAGCAGATAGATGTGATAGGAATAAACAAGATCACTTTGTGAAATTTTTCAGCCAGGATAGAAGAGAATGTTAAACTCCCATTCACAGCGACAGGTAACTGTGTTGATCATTGTGTGCGATTGTTTTAGAGCTTCTTTCTTCTTCTTGTGTCTTATATTTCTGGTCTCCTCTGCTGATCATCTTTTCTTTCTCATTGTCTGTAATGCTTTCCTTCTAGCTAACGCATGAGCACTGTGTGTACTTCCTCCTACAGTGACCATCTCAGCTTCAGATTGGAGTCCTTACTGAAGAAACATGCTCCTTCACGCTTCTGCAAGCTTTTCTTGGGCTGAATAGCAAGGAGATTACGTAGTTATATTTTCTGAGTTGATTTTTTGGTTCAAATATCACAGCATAAGATAGAAAAAGGCATTTCTTCTTTGATTTTTATTAAAGACTTTGTAAGAGTATCTGAATGTTGAGTCACTGTTGTGCAGGTCAAGTTAAATACTGTCAGGCATCTGTGATAAGTACTGGCAGGAAATGAAGTTAAAATACAGTGAAGGTACTTTGTGGCTTGGATTATGATACTTATTTTAAAATTACGCATCTCAAGATGTCAGATGTCTTAACGTGGCATTTTTGTATGTTGAGAATGTTATTAGGATAGTAAAAGGGCTGGTGTATTCTTTAAAAAGTTACCAACGTTAACTCTGTCAGTTATGCCAAGCTTAATTTTTCACCTGATACAGTTAGACTGGCAAAATCCTGATGCAGAAAAGATGCCACGTATTGCTGGAGTTTATTTTGGCTGCTGAACCGTGGTGTAGTAGGCTGCTGGTGTGTGCCCTTTCATACTGGTATGACTGCGTGCACAGGAGGGTGAGGTTTGCTGTTTCAGCTGTGCTGGCATAGTTAAATGAACAGAGTTTCCTCGTATAAGTTCTTAGTCTGAAGCACTTGGGCTGTTGTCCAGTGCCTTGTCTTGTCTTGATTAGATTACAACATCTTTGATCAAGGATTTGGAGTTTAAAGTGCTAGTTCTATATGAGGGATACTTTCGTTTTTGGGGGGAGAGGGTTTGAATCCAAATCTGGACTGGGATTTTGATTTTGTAATGCATGAGCGCACAAAGCTTCTTTTAAAATCCTCTGTGCTGTGCTGAAAGCTGTGAAAGTTGCTCACGCTACAGATAAAATGATCAGAAAGGAAGTGAAGCATGATGGTCACCATTTCAAAAGTCCCTACTGACCAGCAGTGACCTGGACGGTATGTGAGAGTGTATTTCACTCCAGTATTTCACACTAGACTCCAGAGGTCTGATTACTTTAAAAGCAACCCATATCCTTGATAAAGGTGTCAGAGCTCACTTGGGAAATACCAGCCAGGGATAGGTGAAGGACCTGTGCTTAAGCTTTATATATTTGTGGTGTTGTGCTTTTGTTCTTAGAGTTATACCGTGTGTTAGTGAGCACCGCCTCGTATCGGCTAGCTGTGAAATATGCAGCACACTAAGAATGAACTTGTGGATGAAATAGTTTCCTTGATTTAATATGCAAAAGAGATCTTTGTCTTTGCTGTGTTTTGTAAATTTATGTGCAAAGGGCTTTGATAATGAAGTGCTGTAACGAAAGTGCTATTTAGAGAGCAATGTGACCCTGTGGGTTGGCCATCTTGCTGTGCATTAAGCTTTATGATAACAGTAATGACGCTGAAGCTGGTACCTAGAGCCCTTACTCCTTATTCTGCCAGAGTATGGGACTAGTCATGACTTCAGTATTGCTTTGCTGCTGCTACTTTGCTAAGGTTACCTTCTTTAGTAAGGCATTTTTCTTTACTATGGTGATTGAAGTGAACAAAAGCAACCGAAAGGAGTCTGATAGGTTGCGAGAGATACTTCAAAAAAGATGGGAAAGCACTTGAGAAGCATCCATATGTTGGAAAGAAATGGTGCAAATCCCTCTTTTTTATTGCAAAAATCCTTTTGGACTTTTTGGACAGACAAAAGGATAAGCAAAACTGTAATTACAGTTAACCTGTAATTACAGGGTCATAGACATTTCCTTTCCTTTGTTTGCTTCATGTAAATGAGCAATGTAAATTCACCTAGGCTATACTGTAATAAGTGCAGTTTTACTGTGTTTAGATTTTGATTGGTTATAAATCTATAGCTACTATATTTTTTTAATGATTTTAAAATGTGTGTGCAAGATACTCGCACGTATGCACCAAAGGCCCAGTCTTGCCACATTTATCTGAAAAGAGCTCCCATTCAAGTGGATGGGTATTTTATTTGTGTAGGGACTGCAGAAACAGGCCCAGACAAGTCTGCGAAGGTGTACATAGGTGTATAGTTAGATATAAGGAGTGATGCAAGCCAGAAAGATACTTAAAGAAATACGTATATAATAATCCTTGAGATGAAATGCATGTTGCAACGTGTTTACTTTCTGATTAATTTTTCAGGTGTGGCTCAAAAAAATGATTGAAAAACTATGGCATTTGTCAGAAATGCCATATGCAGAAGCTTTCAGATATTTTTTGGCTTCCTTGCCTTGCACTGGACACTGGAAAATCAGATTCCTGCTGCCGTACCGCAGCATCTGTGGTGCCGAGTGGAAATGGCATGGTGGCAGCTTGCAGGAGCAGGGTCTGAGGATGGACCCTACCTGCTGCTCTGTTCTCCATGGATAGCAAATAAATACTGCCCAGGAGATTTTAGCTATGCGGAGGTCACTACCTGTGCAATGTCACTGTGGTGAGCCAGCATTGACCAACCTGAGCTTCTGCCTGTCCTGCTTAAACGGACGAAAAGAAGGGCTGTTGCAGAAAGAAGGACCCTCCTTGTTTTCTGCCATCATTCTTTTGTGTATTGCACATAAGAAAATAACTCTTTTGACATCAAGAATGTGTCTTGAGTTTGAGGCTATTTTGTTTTTCCTTCTCCCACGCGGTCAAAGCTCCAAATGTCCAATCTTAACCTTCTTTGAACAGTGGGATACCTGAGTGATAAGAAGTGACTGTCAGGAAGCCGGATGTGTTTGCTGCACACTGTTATGGCAAGTAAAGGGCGTGCATAGCATGTCGTGCTTTCCCACAGAAAAGGCTGCAGGCCCCAGAGAAATCCCTTGATACAAAAATCTGATCTGTCCAAGAAGAAACGCTGTCAGCTGTCTGGTACCACATCCTGAGCTCCGGCTTTAATCCCGGCTCTGTTGCTGAGGATATGAAATCTGAGACAGGGAGAGAGAAAATTATAATATTATGGTTTAATCACCAACTCATATTATTTAGGAGAATCGCTTAAGAAGTTCCTGAGATCTGCATACACTGGCAATGCAAATTCAGCCGGAAAAACATAACTAGGACTGCTTCTCCTTTATTGTCAGGTCAACAGAGGAGCTTATGAATCTGCCAGTGCTTTCATCAAAGGGAAGGAAGTATTTAGTCGAAATAGTTTAGCCGCTTGCTTTTGATTTATGAAATCCAACTTTGCTGTTGGACAGAATGGATTAAATGGTGATAGGGCCATTATAATATTTTAGCATATTTTCTGTGATTGCAACGGAGTTGTCAAAGCCAGCTCATGAATTGCAAAGGGAGAGCCATGCCGTGGCAGCTCCTCCTGCTGCGATCTCGGGGAGGAGAGGCACCATAGCGAGTAGGTCCCTGATCGCCTGGAAAAGTGATGTAAAGGGAATATGGGAGATGATTGCAACCACCACTCTGGTCCAGAGCCTTTACCACTGTGGAGTCACATGGTAGTGATGATAGGTGAAGCTTCACAGCTTGCAAGGGCCAGGAGTAGCTCCCCTAGTCTCTGACAAAAGCTGCCCCCATGCAGGCTCGACTGATGATAAATTGAAGGTGAAGTTCACGCGGGATGGTTAGATGTAGTAGACAGAAGGAAATCAACTCTAAGAACAGTCCACTCTGGGGGGGTGTCGGTGAATCGGTAGAAATGTTGCTCAGACCTTGAAGGCAAAACCAGTGGTGGTGCTGCAGCTACGTGGGCGGACTGCCCGTGCTCGGCTTTACATGGCAGGAAGGAGCAATCTCCGGTTTGCCTGTGAGGGAAACCGGAGTGGATAAAACACTGAGACATTGAGCGGGAGGGAATCTGTCCTTTTTAATCTTCTGAGGTCTGGTGGCTTGTTAGCAAAGCTCTGACTGTAGAGAGCATGAGCTTGGGTAGTGAAAACAGAGAGCTCTGAAATGGTCCTTTCCCCCATCTCGCTTGCGTCCAAGCGTGCAGAGAACTTTGGAGCTTTTACACGTATATGAAGAAGGAAACATAGCAAAATTCGGCAATCCCTAAGGGCCAAATTCCCTGGGAAATTCTGGAGTGAGCTGAGGGTTTAGGAAGAAAGAGTCAGTATTTATGCTTAGGGCCTTTTCCAAACTCTAGTGAAGTCTGGGGGAAGTTCGGTGTACTTCAGAGCAAGCCTCCAGAAACGGGCCCCGATCATGGGCAGGAAGAGCAGCCTCTTGTTTCTTACTCACTTGATTTCAGATACATTTTTTAAAATATTGTAGATACGGTGCAGTAGCAATACTGTGTTTTTATGGTGTGCATAAAGAATAAGCTTATCTGGAAGCAGAAGTGTTGTGATGGTTGCTCTCCCTTCCAGATTTTGGCACTTTTCATCTTTTCAAACTCATCTATGCAAAGCATTTCATCGTGGTAG